TTTATAAAGATTTATTATCCGAATATAGTGTTAGTATCTTCCCCATATCATAGTGCACAGAGATCCTTGGATCGCCCAATAGATCTTGTGCTCCAACGGTTAAGAGTTGGTTAAAAGAGAAACCAAAGTTACTTTTTGCTTACTCGAGTCGGTGCAAGTCCTTATCTACATCCGTTCATAAAAGTAGGACTAGGGTTTTAAAACCAGAATAATGAGTCGCTTATCAATCATGCCCTTCTCACCTTAATGAAGTCGCTGGCATGTTCTGGGTAGGAACCCAGGAGATCGTGTGATCACAGATTTTCCCGTCTCGTTTAAATTAATTTAATTTCCTTCGGGAATTTGGGTATAGGGACCCTCGTCGATGATGAGCTGGGCATGGGAATCTGGACTAAGAATTGATTCCGATATTAAGATTACATAGAATCGTGGCTTCCGCTGTGCATTTCTGAACCGGGAAGCTTGCATTGCAGAAGCTTGGAAAGAATTTTCACGTTACCATTTATTAATGCGTACATTTCGTCGCATGTAATTACATGTTGTGTTGAGTATGGTAGATGAAATGATTTTTTATCAATACCCACAATAATTATAGCATTGTTGTTAAAATGAACGTTAATGACCGTTGGTCACTCACCGCGTTGAGGTTCTTGCCGAACGCCTGCCAGTATTGTGGCTTATTCCCGAACAATGAGAAACTGATCACCTTCTGCCCTCCGCCTGCCAGCCACGCCCTCCGGCCGCAGGCGCCGCCCGCGTCCTCCCTCGAGAGGTTGCGACCCTGCTCTGGAAAGCACCATTTGCCATGGCAAGGGCAGTCGCCTCCGTCCCACCAAGGCAATGGATCCTGCTTGTCGCCAGCATAAAAAGTGGCACATGGATGAAATAACAAATGAATGATTATCAATATGAATATGTATATATATATATATATATATATATATATATATATATATATATATACATATATATATGGTCCTAGGATACTATCTTGAGGGGACATTATGTATCGGAAGTAATGTTGCCACATCACGCAGTGACAAAGCTTCGTTTCACGTGTGGATAAAATGCCACGTGGATGACACATTGCCATTTATGTTAGTACATTGCAAAGTTTTGAAATTACAGAAAAATACTTTAGTTTATGGAAAATAATATTAGTATCAGAGATATTAACCATATATCATTTTTTTTTTCTCTTTCTAGGTATTGATAAAATATTTTGTGATAAGCATAACTTTATGGGTGTACATGGTACAGCGATGTGAGTAATGCAGCCAAGGAGATCGAACACATTCTCGTTAGCACTCGTTGAAGGATCCTCCAGAACTGCAGGGTGTATAGGAGTGCCGAGTTCTGTGGTACTGACCATAGATTGGTTGTGGCTATCCTCCAGGTTCACTGCAAAACTCCCCAGCGCCCCAATGACCACCCTAGGGTGTTTCATTTGGACAGGCTGAAGGAGAGGGAGTGTGCTCGTGGGTTTGCTGAGACAATCTCTGATCGCTTCACAGCGCTCGACAATCTGTCAGACCCTGTACTTCTGTGGACACCTTCAAGTGCGAAACGCTTGATGCAGCCCAAGAATCGATTGGAGAACGCCCGAGGCAAGACAGAATTTAATCTCTCAAGAGACACTGGAAGCCACAGACGCTTGCCGTACGGCTTGTCTGGCAGGGGATCGGGATTTGCACCATTCTCAGCTGCGCAGAACTCGGTCTCTGTTAAGAAGGAACAAGGAGGTCGAAGGCCATTTCTCAGTAAATGACCTTCGCCCTGCATACCAAGCCCAGAGAAAGCTGAATTCCAAGCCCTCTTCACAGGTGACTGCAGTTCGCTTAGTAGGTGGCCAAATCGTCTCAGATCCTGTTGCGGCGCGGGAACGTTGGGCTGAGTATTTTGAGCAGTTGTATCAGGATGACCCACCAACAGTTAACTTGGATGCGGGTAGTGCCGTGATTCCGCTGCCTGACCCACCCATTAGCGAGGACCCACCCTCCCTAACTTCAATTAGAGGAGTGGTAAAGCAGCGGTATTTGCGGTATCCCAGCCGAACTGTTAAAGGCTGGTGGTGAACCTATGGCGCGGGGGGTTGCATGCTGTCCTGGCTGCCATCTGGCAGTCTGGTACCATTCCCCCTGACCTGTTGAGGGGTGTGGTCATCCCTCTCTGGAAGGGGAAGGGGGACTGCAGCAATCACCGCGGCATCACACTGCTCAGTGTACCTGGCAAGGTTCTTGCCCACATCCTTCTGAGACGTGTTAGAGACCACTTACTGAGGCATCAGAGGCCAGAGCAATCTGGATTCACTCCTGGTAAGTCCACAAAAGACCATATCCTTGCACTTCGAGTCATTGTAGAGTGCCGTCGTGAATTTGGACGTGGGCTGCTTGCACCCTACATGGACCTCAAGAAGGCGTTCGATACAGTGTATTGGGAATCACTCTGGGAGATCCAGAGACTGAGAGGAATTCTAACAAGGATTATTGAACTAATAGGA